GTTATGGAACTCCCTGCCATTGCACATTTGCCAGGTGGACTCCATTTCTCATTTTAAATCTCAGATGAAATTTTTTTTTTGTTTAGTATATCTTTAAATGATTTGCTGGTTTAATATTATGTTGCTTGGTATTTTTACCGATTACATTTTTGTGATGTGCTTGCGATATGCTGTGAGGTGTTTTTGAGTGCTTTAAAAGGCCCCTATAAATAAAAGGTATTATTATTGTTATTAAAGAGCACAACATTTATAGCTCTTTAAATTAAATACTCCATTGACTGTACACAAATCCAAGTATTGCAAAACACAAAAAGTCTGAACTGTGTTTGCAAATGACATAAAGCATTATCTGAACAGCACATCTGACACCCTGTTATATATATATATATATATATATATATATATAAATTTCTGTGTAATAACTGTGTTGCAATAGATCCTAACAGATCTACTGCGGGGCGTTACACCTGCATTCACAAAAAAATAACACTTCATGTTAAAACTGCTGTTGAGTGAATGACAGCTGCCACCCTTTTGGGGATTAGGGGTGACTCAATAGCCGCATTTCCACTGTCGGGCCAGTGCGAGCCAGGGCTTTAATCGGGCTGGGCCGGGTCAATCGCCAGGGAGGTTGAGCAGTGAGGCTGAAATCATGTTGCATTTCCACTGTCGGGCTAGTAGCTCGCAGCACAACCCTGTGTGTCATGCAAACCCCGCCCCCAGAATGTCCCCCAAATCAAATTGTCACACAACCCGCCCACTTCAACAGGAATCAGGCAGATAAAGCACACCATCACATCATCACGAAACCATTCAAATAAATGCCTCTCCTTTCACTCCGCCCCGATCCCCCAGATTGGACAAGCCGAAAAAGGCTGGCCGCTGGCCCCAAGAAAGCCCCGATTTGGCCCGATTAGGCCCCGGAAGTGACAGTGGAAACGCGACTGGCCTTGGCTCGCCCTGGCTCGCTCGCTTTAGGCGCAACAGTGGAAACGCGGCTAATGATGCCATTATGCCAGACCAATACCCTGTTCCTCAAATTCTGAATTTTTCTGTACGCTTGGCTGGAAAACATTTTTTCAAAGATGCCATCAGTTGCCCCCACATCACAAAGATATTTCAAAAACCGATGTGATAACATGTTCTGGCCTAATTTAATTTTTGTAGAAACCTTGACCTCGAGCATGCTACACAAACTTTCTAGCGTAAGATGAATTCAGTACCAAGAGGCCTTGATTTCCTGTGTCCATTTGGATGACATTTTGGTGACAAGCAGCTCCAATGTAGAACACAAAATCTATCTGCAGTCTCTGTTTAGGTGCCTCAGCTAGCATGGCTTCATAATTTACCCTGCCACATGCCAGTTTGGTTTGTCAGAAGTTAACTTTCTCTGCCACTGAATTACTAGTGAAGAGGTATTTCCCAACAACTTACCTGGACAAATGTAATGATTCAGTCATTGGTGAGTGTGAAACAGGCTTTAGCCCAAGCAACCATGCGGTATCATGAGCTTTTATGGACACTTACATGTGACCTTTTGGCACTCCTGGAGATATGACCTCAGACTGCATGCCTCAGTTCACATCATAACAACAAGTTATGGACAGACCTAGCTCGAACCCTTGTTGTACAACTTTACCATACCAGTCAGGCCTAGATTAAGAATTCAGAGGCCCCTGGGCACAATGTCTCATATCCCCCTCCCGTCCCCGTGGAATTAATCTTGACAACCTGCATCCTCTGGCTAAAACATCTTCAGTATCGATCTAAACACCACAAAGGATGGCGTTGCTAAATGCACGCCTTTTGGTAAATAAGACTTTTTTGCTCAATGACTTTTTCTCCGATCAAAACATGGGTTGTATGGTTATCACGGAGTCCTGGGTTAAGGTAGGAGATCTCACTCCTTTCCCCGATTTACTTCAGATTGACTGCTCTTTTTTAATTCGCCGCGTCTAAACGGCCGCTGGGGTGGACTAGTAATGGTTTTTAAAAACTCTTTATCATCTTGCTGTCGGCTGCTTCCAGATTTAAGCTTCAATAGCTTTGAAGTTCAACTACTTCATTTAGACTGGAACGGCCCGCTATGCATTGGTGTGATCTATCGCCCACCTCACTCCACAAAAGATTTCATCAAGCACTTCATTGAACTGAACTTGAGCTTTCCGACATTGTACTCTCCCAATTTTTGATATCCGATCACATGCCTATTCTATTTACGCTGTCCCTCACAAAGATTGCATATTGCCCTAATACGCCTACCATGCTGTCAAGAATCTATACATCCAATTTTAGCTCGGATTTTAACCAGTGCTTTACCGATTTCTACGTCAAATCGCGCCTAGATTTTGCCTCATCAGAACTGGATGCTGAACAACATCTTGATCTGCTGCACTTGGTCTGCCAAATGGCAGCAAACAAATCTGCACCCCTTATATAATGCAGACAAAAAATAAAATCTGAACCTTGGGAAAACGTTAGAGACACGCACTTTAAAACAAAAATATAGACAGGCTGAATGTAAATGGAAAAAGGACAGACTTACCATTTCTCTTTAACTTTTCAGATCTGCTCTGTTTTCTTATCAGTCAGCTATAAAACAAGCAAAAGCGGCTTATTTTGCCAATTTAATTGAGTCAAATCACTGTAAACCTAAAGCACTTTTTGCTGTTATTCAGTCTGTTGTAAATCCTACAGTGAATGTGCTATCTGATGCTTCTTCTTCTCTATGTGAGAGCTTCTTGAACTATTTCAGTAACAAAATTACAACTTTAAGGTCACAATTAAGCCCATCTGGGGTCTCAGTGGATCCCTTAAACTGTCATCTCCCGGTATCTGTTTTCACTACCTTTTCTCCTGTTACCTTAGTGACTTTGGAATCCGTAATTCAAAAAGTGGGGGGGGGGATGGGGGGGGGGGGGGGGGGTTGTTGGGAGTGGGTAGGGGGATCCAAACGGTCATGTTGTCTATCGTGTTTAGTGTTGGTCAACTGTGGTAGCATGTTTTAATTAGGAAAAAAACATTTTATTATTATTTTTTATTTTTATTTTGCTCTTTTATTGATAATCTTTCTATGTTCCTTCCAATTATGTGTTTATTGCTGTTTTTACTGTTTTATGCTCATATCATGTGTTTATTTTCTTTCTGTAAAGCGATTTGTGCAGCCTTGTGGTAGTTGGAAATGTGCTATATAAATAAATAGAACTTGAACTTAATACAACTAGTGAAAAATTAAGGGATTTAAATAAACTTGTTTAGGTTTGCTGAAACAGTACAAAAAAATATATTTAAGGGTATTTTGAATGTATAACTTCAATAAACTTATAATGCATATGATTTGGATATAACACCTCTCCAATCCAGTTCTATGAATCCTCCATAAGACACACAGTTATTAATGATTCCTACTTGTCTTTATGATAAAGAGTAGGCAAAATCAGATATGTAGTGGGGAAAAGAAGAACGTGTTCATCAGACGCTGTATTTGAACCGGGTTCATAATCAATTGCGTCGAAACATGTTACCATGCACTTTATGAGCTACGCTATTCATGCTGCTGTCATTTGCGCTCCTTACTTATGTTGTCACTGTCAATCAAATGGTGATGGGCGTGATTTACTCAGTTTATTTCGATGAGGTGTGCTATTTGCTCTAAGCCTAAATAGACATTCCAAAATCTGCACTTTTCCCCCCTCGCAGGGGCCCCAAATGAGCATGGGCCTCTGCTCATAATGCCCATCGGTTAATCCGGCCCTGATACCAGTGCATTCCACTTACAGGCAAGCTGCCTTTGTAAGCGTTTCCATCGCTCTATGAAAACTGCACTTAAGGCTGATTTATACTTCTGCGTCAAGCGCACACGTATGCTACGGCACAGTCTACACGTTGACGCATAATCCTACAGCATGGCTGTTGGCGTCGCTGATGTGTACCTCTCAAAAAATGTAACTACAAGTCGCAACAACGCATATCGCAAGCTCTGTGATTGGTCAGCTTGGTAGCGTTGATAAGTCTGGGTGGGACCGAGAGCCGCATGAGCCCAATGGAGTGATTGTTTACAGTAGTCCTGTAAAGGAGCTCTGGATGTTTTGTGTTTACCTAATGATTAAAGTTGTTCAACGTCCGCCGATACCTGCCTCAAAAGGAGTGAGTTTGAGCCACTTGTACATTAAGGAAGTTTTCAGAAAAAACAAAACACCAGCGAAGAAAGTCGACACAGAGGAACATTAACACCTCACTGCCAACTAGCGTTTCGGAAGTTTTATAGCAGAGCAGCAGAAGTAAGGAGAAGTATAAATGCACGGCTTAGTGTGTTGCATGCGCCCTGAGTCACACAGTGAGTGGAGCAAAGCGCATCAAATGATCAGTAATTAAAAGGGAAGAAAGAAAAATGGCTATATGGGGAGATAAGAAAATGGTCAGGAGATGAGTAGTTTGAGACCCCTGCTTTAAATCAAGTTCAACCATCCTACAGGAGATCGATCTGAACATAGGCCAACATTAGTTTTGTATTCCTAATTATTTCATACCCATAAAAAATTACTGCTAGATAACGATCACCTGTTTTTTTACTTAATAAATAATGATCAATCAAATCAGGTCAGAAAGTTGTTTATTGTTGAACTAATTTTGTCATCTAATCTCCTCGCAAAGCTTTGAATCCCTTAGAGAAGCTATCAAACCATGTCAACCATGATGACGCCCCGTTTTTAAAGCGTTAAATTAATGGTTAAAAAATTTACGTCTGAACCTACATCAATTTGATGACAAGTGCGTTCAATGACTAATGCCAGATTTCAAAATTTTTGAATCTTGCTTTTATGTTATACGCCGTTAAAAGTGAAATATGCAAATGTCTATCTTTCTTTAAAAAAAATAGTTTTTAAACATTTCAATAACTTTTTTATCAATGAGCAATTTTCTAAAACAAATATAACATGAAAAAAAACACCCATCCACTCAGGTTTTTTCTATTGTTATTCTTTATTTTTCCTCCCCAGGTTACATCCAAGCATGTCGTGCACTAATAATTACATCCATTGTGCTTGGCACATTTGGGCTGGTAGCAACTCTGGTAGGTATGCAGTGTTTCAAAATAGGAGGAGGCAATTACATAATGAAGAGTAGAATCGCTGGAGCTGGAGGTGTGTTCTTCATACTGCAAGGTAACACAGTTACTAATTGAAGCGGTTTATGAAAATATGGTAACATAAATATAACCAATTAAGTTCTTTTGACCACCTAATATACTTTTTTTATATGAGTTACTACCTTCTTCAAGCTAAATGGGTCTTATATCAGTTCAGATTTTTTTGTTTAAATTATCTTTTTCTTGTATAAAAAATAGAATTCACAATAAAAGGAACTGAGGGAAACATTTTCTTGATATTTACACAAACAATTATACACTAAGAACATACAACAATTTAAAAAACTATGTTTTCATAATATGTGTTGCTTTAACACAGTTTATTTTGTATTTATTTTTTTAGGTCTGTGCACAATGACTGCAGTGTCTTGGTATGCTTTCAATATCACTCAGGAATTCTTTGACCCGCTTTACCCAGGAATAAAGTAAGTGGAGGGACGAGTCTTTATATTCACACTCACACACACTTTTGCTCAAGAGCAGGGGTTATTTGTAAAGTACAAGCACACGTGAATATTCAATTGACCCTTCGCTAAGTTCCGCCCTACTTGGTTACTTTTGCTACGCCTGTCAAGCTTTCGTGCCTGGCCTGTCTATTACAATATGTATGTGACGGTGTCAGACATTGCTAGGGATATATAATTAGTCATTTTGGGGGAAAATGTGAGATATCTGAGAAAGCCAGACAAAAAAGAACTGCAGTATGCATAACAGGTGTATACTCACGACATACCAGGCAACTGATTAGAAAAAAACTCAATCAAAATTGAAGCTAGGTTAGGCTCATATGCTGAACATTCAACAGTTTAGTTCATGCACAGTAGGAGAGATGAAATTTAAAAATAATCTTATAATAACTAATTAAACCATGACTTCCCTTTTTTAGCCAGATAGATTAGGGGCTCTATTTTAACGGTCCATGCGCAGAGTGCAAAATGCAGGGCGCAAACGCTTTCAGGGCATGTCAGAATGCATTTTTGCTAATTTACAGACGGGAAAATGCACTTTGCGCCAAGGCGTAGGGGCTAAAAGAGTTGAGTTTATTTTCTTAATGAGTTATAGATGTGTTTTGAGAATGAACCAATTAGAGTCTCATCTCCCATTCCCTTTAAGACCCAGCTGCGTCGCGTCAAAAGCGCATTCGCTATTTACATTACGCAAAGTAAGGAAAAAATTAGGATTTCACAAGCAAACAGTTAACAGTTAACAGTTTTTTAACAGAAAACTGTTAAACAGAGCATCTACTGCGTGAGAATGAGAGATAATGGAACTACTTTCACATTCGCTCTTAGATAGGGAAACCTTTACACACAGACACCAATTAGCCTATAAATGATTAATTTTGTTTGTTAAGCGCAAAGATTTGTTTCAAAACTATTTCTAAATTCAGTTCTAATTTCTAGCAAATGAATAAATGAACAATAATGACCAAGTGTGTTCAAAATACTGAGTTATTTCCAAATACACCTGCCATGCCCCATATGGTCTAAAACCTGACAGGTGGGCAAATCTAAGCTTGTTTTTAATAAAACAAATATAAATATGGATATATTAAATAATACTGCTAATGATAATAACATTATACAAAAGCAAATTGTTATGAATGAACTGAAAAAGCCTCCCGAGATGAAGAAGACATAAAAGCAGTGATTTTTCATATTTATGTAGGCTAGAAAATACATTTTGTAATATTTTTATCCTTTATATTTATATCCTATAACTATTCTTATTATATCCTATATATATATCCTTAATATTAAATTTTTTCATATGTAAAGATATTTGACTATTGCTTTCTTGTGCTTATTAAGCAGTGCGTAAGCGAGGTGCAACTCTGCACCGGAGTTTAGACCGGGTTAGTTTTGGTCTAATGAAAAATCTATTATAGTTTCTCAAAATAGCGACGCGCCAGCGGTCCGCCTCAGAACGCCTTCCTTTTTAGACCAGAACGCCTATGGGCACACAAATGAGCGCTAATGCATTTGCTATTTAAACAGCATAGCGCAACGCCTCAAAACGACTCTTGCGCCAAGCTGAAACTACCAAAAGACTATTGTGCTGCGTCTTGCACCACATTGCACCGGGTGTATGATAGGGCCCTAATTGTTGTGCAATGAAATACAGCGTTACTAACCAACAATAAAACAAGCTGAACAGTGCTTCTAATTCATTTATTCAGAAAAAAAAAACAGCCAGAAAGGTAAATTTTATGGATTTGTGTCGATTATTAGCATCATTGACCCATAACAATGTACAATACCTACAACTGTCAGTATGTTTGTGTGCTTTTTATCCAGTTTCTATTCTAATTTGCAGTAAAGTAGAAAAAATAAATAAATTAAAATGCAAATTAAAAGTATAAACAGCAGAAGTGAACAAATAAAATTTATAATCCAACACTAAATATTTATTCGACAATAAATTTAAAAGCAGACACTAACCCGCTGTAACGTTATTACAAAATCTCTAAAAGACTGATGAAAACATCAGTTAATTGTAGCTCTGACATGGACATGAGGGTTATAAATTACTGAAAAACAAGTATATTGATCTCAAGTGCTCAGATTGTGATCAAATCTGTGTTTTAATTTGTTGATATGTAATTCCAAATAAAAAGACAGCTGGAAATATAACCTCTTTTGTATTTCTGTAGGAAACACAATTTAGATCTTTTTAGAGTAACAGGTGTGGGAGTTATTGCCGTCTATCACTGAATGTGTCAGGAATATCGAAAACAAAACCAACTTAACACAGAGCTTGATCCACGCTGGAATTCCTCCCCTTGGGTTTTAGGTTTTGGAAAGGAGAACAAAAAAGACCACCACCCCATCCAAACTTTTAGAATACCAGGTATCAGATTTGCACAATCCATATGCACGATGCTTTGGCTTGTTTTCCTCGCTCAAAAGCTTGACAGACCTCCTAAGCATAGCTATGGTTGCTAAGCCACAATTGGTGTGTGGTGGTTTTCAGGTGTGGCTTAGCGAAGGGTCAATTGCATTTGATCATTTTGCAATAATCAGTAGTAGTCTTGGCTGCTGTGTATGTTAAACAGTATGTTTGATCATGGATGTGTTGTATTAGGTATGAAATTGGAGAAGGGCTGTACATTGGTTGGAGTTCAGCCACGCTGGCTTTATGCAGTGGTAGTTGCTTGCTGTGTTCCTGTGGATTGTGCACCCCGATGGGGAAAAAGTCATTCCGTCAGTAAGTCAGTTTAACTCAGTGTAACAATAACAGTAAATTAGGCATAGAAAGACTGGCAGAAAATGTTTTGGAAACCACTAAATTATTCATTTCAGAGTGTACTTCTATATTATTGCCAGTCTATGATTTTTTGAAATGGTTGTTAAATAAATCACAGCAGGTGCATAAGTTTTTATAAATGTGCATGCTTTACTCCATCTTTACATTTTGTTTATACAGATCCCATCTTCAGGACTTCAGATCTTCACACCAGCCTCAATCCATTAATATTGTTCCAACAGTTTCTACAACATCTCACTATCTTTCAAGGCAATATGTTTAGTTAATGCAATGAATTAGTCAGACCATCAAAATCGCTAGGGCACTTCAGCTCATTTTGAAAGGGCACTTTCTATCTAAGACTAAAAAGGGCATGTGCACTGCACAGGTTGAAAACTATGTGTGCATGTGCCTGTGGACAAGAACGGTCACTTTTTTTTATGTTAACATGTTCTGAAGTTTTCTGGATAAGTTATGTAAATGTCTTTTGAAAGAATTTCTTTCTTTCTTTCTTTTTTAACAATTAATGCTGAAAAGGCATGGCCACTATTTTTGTGCCTGAACCTTATTGAATATACATTTGTAGGAGTTGCAAGAATCTGAGAGCTCACTGATCCTCCAAAGGCAAATCCAGAAAGGTACCAAAACATTCCTAAAAAAGTGGAAGTTAATTTTGAGAGCACGCAACTTCATTTCTACGTTTCGAGTCTGGCCAAACTGGATGAATGTGCACATGCCAACATCATTAGGTACCCAAAACAGCTGCCTGATGTTAAGTCCTATAGGTGTTTTTGTTTTGTTTTTTTTTTACTTTGTGTACAAAATATTTATTGTTGTTCCTCAGACTGTCCGAAGCTTCTTAGGTAAATTACTTTTAATGGTATATGAAGTTTTGCATTCAAGCAGTCAATTGTCTTGAAAATATAAAACTCAGCCTAAATTATTCATTTGCACAAGTGTACTTAAAGCAAAGATTTTCACGAGTGCCCTAAAAACTATTCCACAATTTATTCATCGCATACGTAAACTAGCAATTTAAATCAATTAATAAATCACACACAAACATGTTTTGTCGTAAGATGCCCCCTTTTGTTAAAAATAAAAGCTCGATGATAGTACAAATAATAATACCATTATAAATCTAGATCATGACAATAATCCAGAAACTAGTCACTGACAAAGAATGCTACAATAAGGGTTCTGCTTTCCACACTTGCCACTATACGACAACTTGTGCTATGCTTGGTATATACTGCTTTGGTCGGTACGCAAATGAGATTTTATGTCTGTGTATGCAAAATGTCAGTTAATCACCTACAGTGATTTTGCAATTCCCATTTTCATTTAGTTAATCTAGTTTTTTTTTTTATATATATATATTCACAGATCAGTTAATAGGCTAAGATCAGTATTGCTGTAACTAGATCTAACAAATTCTTACTACTCTTTTAACAAAGGAGTATATGCCCTGCTGAAAGATGATTACCCCAGCAATAAATACAAATGTTATCAAAGTAAAGTTCAGTGAATAACCACTGCTTCTGATGGGACCATGTAAATATATTATTAAAGCTAATAATAAAGACAATCCAGAATTGTACTTCATCTGTCTCTTATTGAATCATAAGTGTCATTAATTCTACACACATTGTGAACTGGTCACAGACAAACAAATTCAAAAGCAAAATGACACAGTCATATCCATACTTTTGATTCAAACAAGCAAATTCAAAAGCAAAATGGTACAGTCATATCAATACTTTAGCTTTAATAGAGGACCAACCCGACCTCAACAATAGCAAATCTTCCCTGCCATCTCTGTTGTTGCAGACACAAATGTTTGTGGCATTCTCTGTTGTTCACACGGTGACCCCGAATGTCTCTGAAGTTGTCAGAGTCCATGGGTGGTAGTCTGAAGGCTTTCGGTTTCCACTTCTATAGACACCACATGATGGCCAGGGATCATAGCCAGTCCCAAGACTCTGGGCTCACCTTGTGAAAGAGAATCTGTGAAAAAGAACCAAGGCTGTCAAAATACAATCTGTAGTTAACAGAACACATAACTGGCGGTTGCTTGTGTAAAACTGTTGCTGCTTTAAGTTGGGCTAAGATACCTAGGGGCCTAATATGTGGTTATAATTTTTTTTTTTAAATGCCAGAACAAGGTTTAATTGGTAACTTTACAATAAGGTTGTATTGGTTAGTCAATGCATTTACTAACATGAAAAATACACTTATTATAGTATTTGTTAATGTTAGTTACTGTTAATGAAAATAGTTGTTTATGTCAACTCAGTGCAATATCTAATGTCAACAAGCATGAATTTGGATGTTAATATTGCATTATTAAATGATGAACTATAATAAATAAATGCTGTTCAAGTAAATATTAGTAAATATTACTGCTGTTAAGCGATTAAATTTTTTAAAACCTAATTAAGTACATGGTTTAGCGATTAATTAAATTATCACATTTAATTGCACATCCAGCCAGATGTTATAGACGCAGTTTTTTTTACCATTTATTATTAAATTCAGGCCTATAATTTAGGCTACATACATCACTTTTTAATCACATTTATCACTGACTGTAAACAAACCTATGAATTATAATAAAGAATATGACAACTGTAACATATTGAACACTAATCAATGTCATTACTTAATGTCACAGGTGGCTACAAATACAGTTTTAATCATTAATGAACAAACAAAAAGGTCATAAAGGTTACCTTAGACATTGTTTTATTACACATTGAACAAGCCCATTAAGTAAATTCCACTGGACATGACATTATAATTGAAGATATGGCCTCTTACGCTACACTAATCAAATTATCATTTCTTTTTTAACTCTTCTCTGCATGGCTGTTGTGTTTTTTTTTTTTTTTTTTTAAAGTTGTCTGCCACTGCCAGCATTTTTGATGATTTTCACGAAAACGTGACAGCCCTCACAATATTTTTGACTAGGAACAAACATGAGAATATTAGGTTTCAAAAATAAAGAACCTATCCTGTTTTCATAAAGAAAATATTCTAGATTCATGTGTTCATGTTTTATAACCACTTATATGCAGGTAGGTTTCATGAAAAAATTCATTTTTATAAAAGTAGTGAATTTTCAAGATAATACACAATCACATACATTCATACATATACACAAACATACTGTCCAAACATACATAAACATTAATTCACACAAACATACTGTACACACACGTGAGTGTGTGTGACCTTTCTAACGAGTCAAATCATTTGGCTGTGGGCATCGTTAGACCCCCTTTACTGGGGCACATGCTCCAGTAAAAATTACCAGTGTCCCAGTAAATGCTTTATTACAGTTTATTTATATGTAGATTTATTAATTAAGAGTGGTAATCTCAGAATAAAGAAATTATTCACTATGTACAACTGAATCAGCGCTTGCGAAAGCAGTGTAAAAAGAAAAAAGTATGACCCAGGAAAACCATTCTCGCACACTGCGCCTGCTTGACATTGATGTGCTGCTTCAGCTTTCAGTGGGAATCACAATTGATGCACACCTTAAAAATATGCGTTTCTCATGCGTTGTGAAACCTGAGTAACAGTCTTTCAAGCAGAGGTGTCGATATGCAGCGAGGTTTTGCACGTCAAAATATTGATGATGATCTTATTTTGACTAAGCATGGCTTCTGTAAGAGTTTTTTGTAAAGCAGTTTAAGGGGAGATGATGAGTAAGGGAGGTAAGACTTAATAAACTAAATCCTCAGCCTTGAGATTTGAGTCTTAGAAAACAGATAATTCTATAATACTTCTTTTTCTCTAGAATTGTAATATGAAATGAATATTTATGCAAATGATTTCTTAGAAGATCTTGGAAAGTCACTTCAGGTGCTGTTACTTTGCCAGTTACATTTAATATTGATTTCTGTTATTTATTCTACAAATTAATTGTATAATAATAATAATAATAATAATAATAATAATAATAATAACAATAATAATAAAAATAATTGTATTATATTAAAAGGTAAAAAAAATTAATGGAAAGGGGAAGGGGGTTGTAACAAATATGGCCGACCAGACACATAATTATTTTGCTTTTATTCCACAACCGAGCCAACTTTGCCCAGAGAAGACTCGAAACCTGATTCCAAGGTATTTACGACTCAAAAGGAATGTGCCATGCGGCATTGAACAAAGGACAGTTCAGGACTCTTTAAGCTGCTTGTTTAACACTGATGTTTTCATATAAACTTTACTCTCTTTTGTGTAATCATGTGTTTTGCAAAGTCTCCCTTCCTCCTGTATTAATATTTTTGGTATTAATACCTCTGCATTTAATGTTTAACTTTACCAAAGCTAAACAAGCTCTTATACTGTTCGTGTTTAGACTTTCGGAAAAGCTTACTCGCTGTACTAATTAATCATTGACATTTTATTTTAATACGAGTGCAACATATTAACGTTTTAAGAGAATTTAACATTTCTGTCCCGATTTCCAAAAAAATTGCTATGCAAATTCTTCTGCCTCGGACAAAGAGCCGTAAACTTATTTTTCAAAGAAGTTAGCTTCTAATTGGTCAACTTTCCATGGAGGGTGGATCCGAACCTGCCCTATATAAGTTTGGGACAGAAAGCAACGCCCTCTGTTCAAAACTTCTCTCTCTCTCCCGGCTCCAAGACCAATCTCTCTCTCTCCCGGCTCCAAGTCCAAGCTCACTCTCCCGGCTCCAAAGCAACCCCTTCTCTGCTCTAAAGCGCTCTGTTTTGAAACTTTTTTCAAACTCTCTGCAACTTCTTCAGAAACTCAGAACGAGACCCAAGCATTGAAACCTCCAAGAAAGCAGGCGGAGACCCAGACGGAAAGGGTTAATCGCACAGCTCGGACATTTCATATTCCAGAATCCTTTGGCTGCTTCAGCTTGAAACACCGACTCCCCTACTACAACACTCGTGTTAACAAAGAACAACAGCCGAACCACATGCTCAACAACGGGAGCTCTGACATCACGGACAGACTGCAAGTATCAACTCTCTTCCAACATCTAAACTGGTGTGAACTTAATTCAACCCTAAAGAGACAATAGAACATCACATTCATTTAAAAGAGGCAAAACCCATACGGCAACCAGTGTACAGAGTTCCGGAAAGGCTACTTAAAGTCATGAAGCAAGAGCTGGAGTTAATGCAGGAACTGGAAGTTATAGAGCCATCATCCAGTGAGAGGAGCAATCCCATTGTGCTTGTACCCAAGAAGGATGGGTCACTTAGATTCTGCCTTGACTTCAGAAAGCTCAACTTGGTCAGTAAATTTGACCCTTACCCCATGCCCAGAGTTGACGACCTAGTGGAGAGACTCAGTAAAGCAAAGTTTCTCACTACACTTGACCTATGCAAAGGTTATTGGCAAATCGCATTAAGTGCAGACAGCAAAGAAATGACAGCATTTAAAACCCCTTTTGGTCACTATCATTTCAGGGTTCTTCCCTTTGGACTGCATGGGGCACCTGCCACCTTTCAAAGAATGATTGATCAAATTCTCCGGGGTACAGAGACTTTCGCTGCTGCATACTTGGATGATATAATGATCTTCAGCAGGTCCTGGCAGGACCATCTTCAACATCTCCAGGAAGTATTATCCAGGATCAAGTCTGCTGGACTCACCATCCGCCCAGACAAGTGTGCAATAGCCAAAGAGGAGACTTGTTACCTTGGTCATGTCCTGGGCCATGGAGTCATCCGTCCGCAAGTGGGGAAAATCGAGGCCATCAAAAATGCAGAGCGACCTACAACCAAGAAACAGGTACGAGCTTTTCTTGGCCTAGTAGGATGGTATAGACGATTTATCCCCAACTTTTCTACAAGAGCTGTAGCTCTTACTGACCTCACTAAAAAAGACAAGCCCGATATGCTTAACTGGACAACTGACTGTGAAAATGCTTTCATAGATCTGAAAGAAGCGTTGTGTACTGAAGCTACTTTACAGAGTCCAGATTTTGGTAAACCATTTACAGTCCAGACTGATGCATCAGAACGTGGTCTGGGAGCTGTACTTCTACAAGGAGAACAAGGGAAATTGCATCCCATTGCTTACATTAGCAGAAAACTCCTTCCTCGAGAAACACTGTATTCAACCGTGGAGAAGGAGTGCTTGGCAGTGAAATGGGCATTAGACTCTTTTAGATACTACCTTATTGGTAGAGTTTACATTGGAAACTGACCATAGAGCCCTGACTTGGTTAAACCAAATGAAAGACACAAATGCTCGAATTACACGATGGTTTTTGGCAGTACAACCTTTTCAATTTAAGGTGAACTATAGAACTGGCCTTGAGAACTGTGGAGCAGATTTCCTTTCTAGGACACCACAGAGGGTGTCACGGGAAGGGGGAGGAAATATCACAGTGTAAAACTAAGACACTGTGACTAACAAACACACATCACATTGCACTCATACATAAAATACATACTTTTAAACATGGACCTTTGTGTTATTTGTATTGTGCATGTGTGTGTTTGTGTAATGTGTATATGTTGTTTTTTCTGTCCAGATTAGCATTGTTTATGTAAAAATTTAACTTTTATGTCAAACAATAGCCCATATCAACACTGAAATAACCACAGACACATTTTCTTTCAAACTTCATTTATTAACCAAACATAGAGAGTTTACATATACTTACCAGTTTCCATTTCTCAGCACCAAAACTGTTTAACTTTCAAACAAAGCCATTTATACAGATTTTTCCCGCCTTCACTTTGGAGCAGCCATTTTCCATAACATCTTCGGGGTCACAACCCCCTGGTCAGTACATAAAAATCACAGTTTTATTGTTTAAATTTGTATTGGTTATTTGTTGTGTTGTATTTTGAGTTTTGTATGCATATTCATTTACTTGCATTAATTTATATTCCTGTTGAATGTCTTTTTATGTATTTTTTATCTACATGGTAACCCACTACCAGTAAAATGGTTTAACCCATGGGCGGGGCCAATACAATAAAATGGCCCCAAACATTCACTTGGGGTGGGTAGTTGTAGGAGAAGGTTGTTTGTGTCAGTATTGTTAACAGATTTTGTTCAGGTCATTTACTTGATTTAGCTGAACAAGCCTGTATATACATTGTAAATATTGAATAGTTTATTTTTTCTTTATTGTTATTTTGTCACTTTCACCTTTTTGCTGGATTTTTGTTTTCACTTTGTGTAAATAAATCACTCTTCACTTCCACCAGCGGCTTTTGTGACACTTCTTTGCCTCCATCCACCCGGTCAATCGTAACAGGTTATATTGAATTTGATTACATTTGGTTTGCTTGGTTTGTTCTTACAAACTCCGAGGTTTTCCCATCATTACATCCTCTCAACCTCTTACTTCACGTTCGTTACTCTTCCCCATGTTTGTATGAATGCGTGTTTGTGTTAGGTGTTAGTTTCTGTTAGATTAGTCAATAAAGTTTAGTTTTGTATAAAGAAAGGTGCTTGTGTATATTTATGAATCTAATGTCTGAAACTTTGATCTTGTTACCCTGCTCAAATTTTTATAGCATCGCTGGACGATCCGTTGGTTCGGATCTAAAGAGTCGATTCACTTGAAGCCCCGTTCAAATGAATCTTCCTCCCTCTAAGCTAGCCCACTATAATTGTCCAGATGGTACGCGAGCACTGAAATCTAAATCATAACTCGCAACATTATAACGGCAGGAAAGACGTGGGAAGAATACCCTTGAGCTAATTTACTACAGTAATAATGGTGTAGGTATGTGAGCACTCTAATCTACATTATAATTTGTTACAGATTATTAATGTAGATATGCGTGCAAAGTTAACCTACATTATTGTAATAATTTGCTACATGTTTATTGGTGGAGAATAAACAAAGCATTAAATTTGTAATTTTTACAGGGCGTTCAATATTCTGATACAATATTACATAGGTCTACATATTTGCACCTCTCTAGCTACCAACAGTTTATTAAAGGGTTAGTTCCCAAATGAAAAGGGGGGGATTAAACAAGATAATTAGACATTAAAAAAGCGAGGGCTTCATTTTTTAAATTTCTGTCCAGAGAGTTCATGTTTTGAGCCTCGATTGGTATCACACAGTCAAGTGATGCGATTTCGCAGGTCAGAGTTCCCAAGGTTGAACTTTGCACCGCAGCAACCTGCGAAACATCACGCATGATCTTGCGCTTCCGGTCTGACGCACTCGTGTGCGTATGAATAGAAGTCAATGGGGAAAAAAAACCCAGTGTGACCGCAGCTTAAGAGCAGAGTGTGAATGTTTAATTAGCAGAGTCATAGCACAGTTTTGTTTAAAAGGGCTCCTATTTTACCCCTTAGCAAGATTTAAGATAAGTCTTTGGTATGTCCAGAATGTCTAAAATTTCAACTTACAATACACATCAGATCATTTTTTATACCCTGCTAAATATGAATGCTTTTATGTTGCTTTTAAGCTGGTTCTCCCCGTTCAATTTCATTAGAAATGTGTAAGGGAGTTGTAGTGCTAATTTCTATACACAATTACTGATAAAATGGGTTTAAATTCTGACAGCATTTTGAGTTATTTGCACGGCGAATGAGTCAATATCCATAGAGAACGTTTCAGTTACAATTCGCAAGGAAAGGTTACTATTCACATCATGTGTGCATCTAGAATGAATAAAGCAATACTTCGAAATGGTCGATCAAAGTGACAATAGTTCGAAAAGATCAAAATGGTCAACCAGTTAGTGGAGCGGAGTTTGACTGTTCAGGATATATTTGTCCCAGTCATGCCTCGGTTTAATCTTTCGAGAAAATTTATTTCGTTGAACGTACCTCCATTTATTTCTAACCTAGTGCTTAAATCCATTTTAGCTTGGTATGGAAAATTAGTAGGTGCAATTACAATGATGTAGTGCACTACAGCATGTAGTGTCATTCAGGCATCAGGCACAGATGATATTAACTGTTGAATTTAAAACATTGGATGTGTCTGTTAAACTAACAGAGTTTGGTAGGGTTATACAATCTTTAACAGTACACTAGCGGGAAACCCGGTCATAAAGCAACATGCCCTGTAGTTAAAGAAGCCTAAAGAGTGTTTCAGAAACTAACGCAGAAAAGAACGCAAATGATCAGGAGAATGAGTCGGCCAACGCGAACGTGAAGATCACATTAGCTGAAACAAGCGCAGAAATGTCAGAGACTCCCACAATGGGACAAGAGGTGTGGCAAGAAAATAATGTTGAGATTGTGAGACAAGTGAGGGAATTTCTCAAAATGCAGACATCAAGCATAAAGTCCCAAACCATGCATAGAGCATAGAGTCCCAAAACCATGTCAAACAGTTGGTTGAGAACACAACCTCGCAGACTACTGATAGCGATTTGGATAGTTTAGATTTAATCACAGAGGAATTAGATGATTTATGTTGACAGGAAAATTTTTTATCAAAACTCAATATTATACTGTAGAACAAATCAATGACTTTATGGATGTTACAAAAACCAGAGAAAAAAATGTACAAATTGAAGCGTTCCATAATAGACAGAAACCATAAAGAACCTCATTTTGGTTTAACAGATATTTTTTTATCCTCCTGCAGAGTGTTTCTGCACCACTTGCTCCCACTATTTGTTTACTAAGTTTACTCACTCTCTGCTTTAAGTTTTCTTGACTGACTGTTCCCACTGAATTAAGATGCGAGAGAAAAGCAAAATGCTCTCTCTTTGCTTAAGTTTCAATTTACTCTGATGATGTTGATAAGTGAAAACTGACATATCTGCAATGATTGTTAATAAAAATGTGTTGTTCCCTTGGTAATGCAAATAATGCATAATGTAAACAGAAGTAATCTACACTCTAAAAGTGCTCTTATATTAAAGGTTTAGTATGCAAGTTGAAACCTAGTGATTAAACTAGGTATTGCACTCCAGGTTCAAAACACACAAGCGCAGGTTACCAGATTGGCAACATCAGCAGGAGTGTACCTGACTATCGAGCCTAAATATCTGCAAACTTATTACAGTATTACGGTATTTTTATGCTTGAGAAAAGTCAACTTAAATACAGCACCTTTAAGATGTGTTGACAATTATTTTCCTATTAGCTTTTTTCTGTCTTTATTTTTCTTAATTTGAACATACAATTTTCTAAATGCCCTACTTTTATTGATGTGACAATTGATGAGAGAATTTGCAAATATACATTATGTTTAAAGCCTGTTGCATTGTCAGGTGTTTGTAACATTTTAAATTTTTCTGTAGTTTTTTCTAAAACATATCATACTGGTCTCAACTTACATACTGCACCTTTAATATTAGAGCACTTTTAGAGTATTGATTATTTCTGTTTACGTTTATGCATTATTTACATTACCAAGGGAACAACACATTGTTATTAACAATCATTGCGTGTATGTGTATGTATATATATATATATATATATATATATATATATATATATATATATATATATATATATATATATGTATGTATGTATGTATGTATGTATGTGTGTGTGTGTGTAAATAAAATATGGCTATATATCTATAGGCTAAATATATGCAATGAGCACCTGTGGATTTGAGGAATTCTTGTGCAGATCCCAGGATGACGTTGCAGTCTCTGTCTGTGCACAGAAAGAGCCCCACCAGTGTGCGACCATCTGTCATCCGGATTCTCATGCTCTTATTAAGAAGGTTCTCCAGTTTACATCGAGCCAGCGAATAAGCAAGCTCCACCAC